AGAGAGAGAGAGAGAGAGAAAGAGAGAGAGAGAGAGAAAGAGACAGACAGACAGACAAAGAGAAAGAGAGAGAGACTGAGAGACAGAGACAGAGACAGAGACAGATAGAAAGAAAGAAAAAAAGAAAGAAAGAAAGAAAGAGTGACTTGGGGAGTTAAGGGTATTTACCTTTCTCGTCCACACTTTCGTCCTGACTCTCAGGATCGTCGGCGCCAAAAAAGAAGGTGGCGATTCTGCCCGTGGGTGTGGACTCCCTGCGATGTATGCTCACTCTGCGCATGGCAGAACTGAAGAGACTCAGCCTCCGACGCCCTCGCTTCGCCTGGTCGCTGCTCTCACGCATGGCTGATTTGAGAATCCCGAAGTCAATATCGGAACCATCGTTCACGCTTGAGCGGGACGAAGTCTGGGAGCCGAGACTTGTCTTTTTTCTCTCTTCTATGGCGTAAAGTTTTGCCGGAGCAGCCGGGATGGCCGTTTCCAATACAGGCAAAGCTGTGGAACCGTTTGTGGGAGTAGTATCAGACGTGGTTGTTTCTGATATAGATGTGGGCTGAGACGTATCACTCTTTGTGGAAGCAGCAGGAACGGCCGTTTCCGATACAATTAAAGGTGCGAGTAGAGCCGCGTCACCATTTGTGGGAACAGCAGGGATGGCTGTTTCCGATATAGTCAAAGGTATGCGCAGAGATACGTCACCGTTTTTGTGAGTAGCCGCAGGACTGGCGATCTCCGAAATGGATAAAGGTGTCGGAAGATTCACGCCGCCACTGTTTCTGGACAAGGAAGAAGCCATTGTGGTAGCGTTCATCGTGTCTGAAGAACTATCAGAAAATGTCTTGGTGTCTGAGGGAGGTGTAGTTAAAAGCAACAGGGGATCGAACGTGTTTCCTTTGGCTACCGTGACGTCATAGAGACCGTTACAAGCGGTGGTGGCGTTATTCACACTATCTTTCGTTAGAGAAAATCCGTTACATGTATGTGCTCGGGTCTCAGAATTGTCTTCTTTTAGTTCATGTCCGGTAACTGAATCAAAGTTTGTGCTATTAGGGTACTCCTCCTTTTGTCCTTCTTCCTCGTTCGCACCGACAAAAGGATTGTTTCCTCTTAGAGCTCGCAAGTCTCCTGTACTAGGGGCAGATCTAAACAACAACAAATGTTTATTACTCTCAGAATCGTCAATGTTGACGGCAGCCGCATCGTTCAATAGGCTACGGTTTGTCCTGCCTGCGGATATCTCCATGACTATTCACAATCCGCCGACTCCACAAAGTGAAATGATGGTTTCGGAATTTTTAAAATCAGAAAGTTATAATGATAATAATAGTTCTTCTGTCACTATCTGACGATCACCAATGTATCTGCAATGGAGAATATTTCATAAAGATTAATGGAAGAGTTATAGATTAAGATAAGGTGTGGTTTCTGCTACGGCCAATGAGACCAATGTAGACAATTATGCACCAGTGAAAATTTGTACAGTGTAAGTAAAATGTATTAGACAATTGTACAAATTTAGAGAGTTGTACCAAATATTGCACAAATAAGAAAGTGTATTTAGAATATTGGGCAAAGTAAGACATTTTGTATTGGAAATCGTACAAAGTTTTAAAATTGTATAAGAAAACTATACAAAGGTAGAACGATGTATGAAGCTAGAAAATACATTATAAAAATTATATAAAGTGAGACAATTGTGCAGTCAGACAAATTGACAAAGATATCCTCAGTGAGGAATATAGGCTGTTTGAAATGTCAGATACTGCAGGAAGACAGACGGAGAGACATGTAAGTGGGATGAAGTTACATTAAACTGATTCAGAAGCTGATAATAATATGTCCCTTACATAAAAGTCACCTGATTCTCTTCCTATTAATGAATTCCATTGGTTCTCTGATGTCATAATCCTCACACAAAAATGCAGAAAAAAATGATGATGTTGCACACACTTTTGTCCACATACAATATGCAAATGGGTATTCCTTGACTGAGCTCACCGACAAAAGAATAGAGCAGAGATGAACGCGGTGATTTCACGACTGCCGGAGATGAAAAAGGCTCGAAATCAGCGTATTATTACGTCCTGAGGTGGCCATATCTCACAGCCGACTGTGTCTATATCAACAGGACCACTGTGTATGTGTGTGTGTGTGTGTGTGTGTGTGTGTGTGTGTGTGTGTGTGTGTGTGT